TCAAAGACCTCCTACCTCCCCAGCTAACGGGGGGTGATCCAATTGGGTCCCATGACAACCGCTGGGACCATGAACACTACTATCGAGTAAAGAACCCTTGGGACGAAGGTGAGGACTAGAGGTTGACACCACACCTCTCCCTCACATGTGTCAGGCCTCCGCGACCTCCTAAATGACTAATGGGCCCGAAGGAACTAGGACGTGCCCATGTTAGAGGACTCTGGGAACAAGTCCGATCCGTTTTGCATCTGAGAGGACTAGGATGAGGCCCAGGCTCCTATCGGCAGAAGGATTGAAGACCTATAGGCATAGATTGGTGCCATACAAGATGAACTTCAATAAGTGAAGGAGGGCCGAGGTGATGCCTATCCCACCTCACTTTAAGGCTCCCAAATTGGAGATGTACAATGGAAGAAGTAACCTGGACGACCACCTGGAAAGCTTCCGAGCACTCATGCTCCTATATGGGTACTTCGATGCCTTGATGTGCCAAGAATTTTAGGCGACATTCAAGGGGGCAAGCTGACTGAGTGAGATGTTGTAGCACCTCAACAACTCAGAGATGAGGGGAGGAAGGGGGAACCTAAGGCCAAAATGGAGGTAGTGCTTGTGCACACACACCTCGCCCTCATCTGGATGCCACAGCCAATCACCGGTGTCGGCCTATCGGGGACTCCAAGCCTATATCCCCTTAGAATATGGTACATCTTAAAAAGAACCCTTACATGCTCTATGCTAAGTATGCTATCCGTGTCGGAGCATGGATAGCATGTTATTTCTACACCCTGGGCCGCGGCCTCGGCTACAAACTCAGTGCTTGGCTCCTTGCCTTCACCGCCCTCCACCATCTTGGGCAAAGCCAAGGCATCGACTGCGATGTCACCCCTTGGCCTCATAGACCCAACACTTTCACTAGGAGAGTCATCGCCCCACCGACTACACTCGGCACCTCCAAGAGTAGTCCTCTCCCTTAGTACTCGGATCTCGCACCTTTGAGGCGAGCCCTTGGACTCATCATAGTAGCTCTCCTACTGATGGAAGTGGTGGGACGAGGTGAGCTTGCACCCAACTAGTTAAGGAGATCATAGCATTCAGGACCGAAATCCGAGTAAGACATGGCTAAGGTTGCAGTCTTTACCTAGTGGATGAGGTACCTGAGGGTTAAAGGATTGGCTAAGATGATGGTTGACGTCTCTGAAAGAGCAAGATGAAGAAGGAAAATGGTGACAACTGCCTTGACCAGTGCCCTATTTAAAGAAAAATGGATGGTTCAAATTGACTCTAATCTAGTGGTCGTGGATGAGGGGATGAGGGATCCATTGTATGGACGCCCAAATCTTGCAAAATAATGGGGCGAATTTCAAAAATTTTTCTCTCCCTTCAACTGGGAATCGCATTCCCTATTTAGAAA